ATAAAATCTTATCTCAAACCAACCAACCAACCAACCAACCAACCAGCATCCTTCAGTAAGGAAAACACGGCATTGAATAAGGTGTGGCGGTCATCATCCATCCTGGCTCGGACCTCTGTGATTTCAGCCGTGAGCACCCACAGGCTGTTTATGCTGTGTGGGCGCTCCTTTCAGGAGCATTAGGCATGCCTCTGGGTACAGATTTTCTTTGGAGCAGGATTTGGCCCTGGGTCTATAACCTGCTTAACATTTAAGTGTGAACTCAGAGAGCCATTTTTCATAGCACGGTTCTGAAATTTGAACAACCTTTGGCAGCTGAAGGCTGGGAAAAAATTCAACAGCTTCAGGGCTTATGTTGGGTGCAGGTAATGGCGAGGGCGGGGATGGCGAGGGGTGCAGGGCCGTGGGCACAGCGCCACCGTGTGGTCTATCATTACATTTGCGAGCGAGATGGATGCAGTGCCAGCTCCCACCAGGCTGGGGCTGCAATTTTGGACAAGCGGCTTCGATTCTGGGATTGAGAAGCCTGGAGACATCTACACTAGAAGCTAGCTCCAGACGGCCCAGTTGCCTGACTCAGAGACTTCCCTGAAAGCCGCCATACTCTTGAGCACCATAAAGACTACTAGGGCCCAGCTACGTGCTTGTTGGAAGAAGGAAGAAGGGCGTGTGGCTGGCACCCACGGGATCCTGTTTGGATCTGGAAGGAAGGCAGAGCCTGAAGGACTAGATGATTTCACAAGAGATATGACCAAGCTCAAGCTGGGAAGCTGGGGAACCAGGCCATATGCAGTGGGAAGGCAGATGGGGGACCACTTCTCATCTTCGCCCTGTCCTAGGCTGTCACTCGGACTCTCCCTTTGCCGCCACAACCCTCCACCCCCACCCCCAACACAGGGCACCAAGAAGGTAAAATAAGATGGCGGTTTCCTAGAACTTGGAAGTTCCCAGAAGCACCCGGGTCTGTCTCTTTCCTCTACTTCTTAGTGGACACTCACAAACACAACACAGCTCTGTCTGATACAAAGGTTACACCCACCGCAGGCAGGGGACACTTTTTTTTCTAACAGCTACATCAAAATAAATAAAAGAAGCAGATAGAATTAATTTGGAAAATATATTTGATTTCATCCAACAGATCCAATGTCTTGTCATTTTAACATGTTATTAAAATAGAATTCAGAGCCAGGCATTGTGGTACACACCTGTAATTGCAGTGTTTGAGAGACTGAGGCATTAGGATTGTGAATTGGAGGCTAGCCTGGTTTAAAATAGAGAGATCGTCTTTTAAAAAATAAACAATAGAGTAATGAAATATTTAAACCCACCCCCACCCCTGTTCTAAGGCTTTAGGATTCTGCATGTCTTTTACATGTACAATACACTTCAGCTTGGATGCATCTGAAGTGCTCAGTAGACAGGACACACACACACACACATACACACATCTCACAAGCAGTTAGTTCCATAAATGGCACAGCATTCTTTGGTAGAAGAGACCAACTTGAACTGGTAAAGTCATGGGAGGCTTCCTGGAGAGAGGGCAATTCATACTGGGTGTGGTGGTTTGAAAGAAAATGGCCCCCACAGGGAGTGGCACTATCGGGAGGTGTGGCCTTGTTGGAGGAAGTGTGTCACTGTGGGGGTGGGCTTTGAGGTCTCCTGTGCTCAAGCTACACCCAGTGTGGCACACAGTTGCTTCTGCTGCCTGCGGATCAAGATCACAGCTCCTCCTCCGGCACCATGTCTGTCTGCATGCTGCCATGTCCTGCCACGACAATAATGGACTAAACCCCTGAACCACAAGCCAGCCCCAATTAAATGTTTTCCTGTATAAGAGTTGCTGTGGTCATGGTATCTCCTCACAGCAATAGAAAGCCTAAGACACGGGGCCATGGTGGCTGTGTGAGATTTGAAAATGATGATGAGGGGACAATGTTTGGTCTTAGGAAGGTAGCTCATCCATTCCTGTTCTACTGGAGCATGTGTGTGTGAACAGTTTGTCCCTCTCCTGCTCATCACTTCCTTTTCCAAATCTCCCACAGTCATCATGCCCAGTATGCATGCCCTCTCCTCCAGGAAGCCTCCCATGACTTTGCCAGTTCAAGTTGATCTCTTCTATCAAAGAATTTTGTGCCCTTTGTGGCACTAACTACCAGTGACGTGTGTGTGTGTGTGTGTGTGTGTGTGTGTGTGTGCGCACGCGCGCGCGTGTGCGTGCACCATACCAAACACACATCTGGCTTTTTAAAAATTATTCTTGCTACAAACAGGGCTTCTGGGGCTCCCAGTCAGGCCCTCAACACTCAAGCCAGCATTTCACTGACTGAGCCACTCCCCTGGCTCTTTTAAGGGTTGAAAATATCAACAGCAGAACCTCTCTGGGTGCTGTAGGAAAATGTTGGGGCCTGACATCTGGCCCAGTGACCCTCATCCCGAAAGCCTCTGGGATCCAGCTCCATAGCACGCCTCCCCTGGGGCCCTCCACCTGCCAGTTTCTCCTGAGAACCTCAGAGCCACAGGCGAAGGTGCCCACTTAGCAAGCGTGTGTCAGGGACATGCCCTCACCCCCACACCTCTGGTTACAGACATTCCCCAAACCACAAGCGAGTCCACGCCACACTTTCTTTTTTTTTTTTTAATTTATTTATTTTATGTACACTGGTGTTTTGCCTGTATGTATGTCTGTGTGAGGGTGTCAGATCCTCTGGAACTGCAGTTTCAGACAGCTGTGAGCTGCCCTGGGTCCTCTGGAAGAACAGCCAGGGCTCTTAATTGCTGAGCCATCTCTCCAGCCCCGTCTTCCAGTTCTTTTTACAATTACATTTTATATATTTATTCTGAGTTGGTGAAGCAGGCCACAGCTTACATGTGGAGGTCAGAAGACAGCTTGTGGAGGTCGCTTCTCTCCTTCTCACATGGGTGCTGGGTTAGGAGCTAGCTTGTCAGGCTTGTCAGTAAGTACTTCTAGCCACGAGTCATTTCTCTAGCCATCTTTAGTTCCTTAGGGCCAGAATGATTACGCCAGAGTTCATAGAGACCGCAATTCTACACTTTCCTTTTTTGTTTTCTCGAGACAGGGTTTCTCTGTAGCTTTTGGCTGTCCTGGAACTTGCTCTATAAACCAGACTGGCCCCAAACTCAGAGATCCACCTGCCTCTGCCTCCTGAGTGCTGGGATTAAAGGCAGGTACCACCATTGCCTGGCAATTCTATATTTTTTTAATGGGGAAACTGAGGCCCACCAAGAGAAGGAATGTTGCTAGGTCATGAAACAAGATTCTTGTCTGAGGTAAGTGAGACGCCTCAGAGGGTAAGATACCTTGCCATGCAAGCATGAGGGCCTGAGGTCTGTCCCCGGAACTCACAGTCGAAGGAGAGTATCAACTCCTGAAAGTTGCCCTCTGACTTGCACACGCACACCATGGCACATGTGTACCCACACTCTCACACACACATCATATCCACAGCGCACATAATCATCTCATGGTCTGATCATCTCTCCTCTTGGGTCTCTCCCCTCCTGTACCCGCCAAACACTGTGGCCTGTGGCATCTGCTGTCTGGATAAAAGCAGCCACACTCTTTTATTTTATTCATTGATAGATAACAATTTATTAATTATTTAATAATCACCTCTGGGGTGGCTGAACAAGTGGAGGCTAGTGGACACCACTCCACATGGTCTCCACTTTCTGGCCACCCCAAGCGCATCACTCCTCCATGATCACACCCAGGGTTTATCCTCAAGGAGGACACTCCAGCACATGCCACAGTGGTCACACTGCTAACTCTCAGGACCGCATGAGAAGCATACCTTTCATCTGCTCCCACCAACTCCTGCAGGTTCAGAAACATGTCGGGCTTCTCCATGTAAATATAGCCTGGAAGCTTATGTAACAGGAGGTATCAGGAGCCCAGAAGCCTGGGTTCTGAAATGTTCCCATTCTAAACTCACACAGTGACAGAGCTGCAGTGCCCCCCCCCCCCGCCCTGCCCCTCCACACTGCCCCTCCACACTGCCCTATGCAGGCTGATTCTGCTGAGGCTCCTTCACTTGTACTCTGCAGGATTCCCAGTAGGTGGCGCCAAACTGCTGCCCACAACATAGCCTGTGGGCAGCTCAACCACTGTGTATGTGAAGGAGGGTATTGGAGAGGGTGCTTCCTTCCCCTTACCCATAGTGAAGACCAAGAAGGCTCCGCTCATTACTGCTGTCCAGTGCTCAGTGAGGACTGGGCTCTAGGTCTCCTTCAGCCCAGGCACTTGTTTGGGGGGTGGGATACAATGCAAGAGAGACCCCTACTCTGATTCTGAAAGAACGTGTTGAGTTTGGTGTTCTAGGCCTGGAGCAGGTGGGAAAGTTGGCCCTCATTGAAAACTGATGTGCCTGGAAAGCCAGGTGGGCTCAGGGAGCGACAGCTCCTTGGACAGCTGCTGGCAACCCGCAACCTCATTATTCTTCAGTGGTTATTAACTTAACATAAACGTGGTTGGGACATGGGCCCAATATGGTAGCAGGTGCTAGATGCATATAGCTATCTAAATTACTGTGAGTTTGAAGCCAGCCTGGGATACATAGCAATACCCTGATCAACAACAACAGTATTGAAGGGGAAAATCCAGTTTCTTCGTTCCATTAGCCACATTTCAGACACACGTGACTTGCCACTAGGCCGGCATAGAAGTGAGTATGTCAATCACTGGAAGTTCTATTGGGCACCATGAATCCGGAGCCCACTAGGTCTCCCACTGACAGGGTTTCATGTGCATGTCAGTGTGTACTGGACCCTTTACACACTGCCTCCCATGGATGTGGTTCTGAGAGGTGGGATCAGGCAGACCCAGTCCACTTCCTACGACTGACGCTTTGGCCAAGCCACTTAGTCTCACTCCAGCTGTGTTCATCTATGGGGCAGAGATAATACTGTCCAGTTGTCACGGTTATTATTAAATAGTAACGGGTGAGTCCCCAGTTCAGTTCTGCAGCTGGGGCACTCTCACGCTGGTTTGTCACCATGGAGACTTGTGTCTGGCTCACAGGAAGCTCAAGGCTTGATTCTTGTCCAGAAGGAGATGGCCGTCTAGGTGGAAGGTAAGATACAGGACATGACCAGCCTGAGACCGTTCTCCTAGGTCCCCTCTAGGATTGGATGTGGTCCTATGGCACAGGACCCCAGGAGAGGGGTCGTGCTTATGAGGTTTATGTGAGAGTGCCTGTGTGGGTTTTGGACCAACAGACATAATGGGGGGAAAGCAACCTCATGGCGTCGTGTTGGGCAGGCGAACAACGTAAGGATGGAGAGGGACTCAGAGGTTAGGAGGGAGGGCCTGAGCTGATGCAGTGCAGAGCAGGCCAGTCAGGGAGGGGGAAACTGAGAGGAAGATTATCAGAAACTAGGCTGCGTGGCTGCGGATAGGTAAGGCAGATGGTTGGGGTGCAGGGCTGGTACCGGGAAAGGCAAAGCTTCTGGATACAGAAGGGGGAACACTGTGGGTGTGTGTGGATTGTGCAGCAAAGGTGACGTCTCCCCCCTCTAGCCAGCACGCCCAAGGCTCCAGAGCTGAGGCTGACATCAGGCTGGCAGCAGTCAAGCCGGGAAAATTCTCGTCCATTTCTAGCGGACGCTTCTCCAGACCTTGCCTGTAAACACTATTTATTTTGGAAAGCAACTGCTCTGTTTTCAAATAAAACGTTGGGACATGCAGTATTGGATTTCCCTGATCTGACATTGACCTAGAAAAATGTGCTGGCAGAAACAGAAAATGTGATGCCCCACTGTGCTGGCAGGCGCAAGTGTCTCTGCTCTTGGCTGTGACCATAAAGGTTAAGAGGCAGGAAAGAGGGTGGAGCCTTCTCCCTGCTGGAAGCACACTCTTGCCCCAAAGAGGGGAACAGCTGAGGTCCAGGTGACAGAGTGGGCTTCTCATAGCCTGTGTGTGCATGGTCACGAGGAGCAGGAAGAGAGGTAACCAGTGATGATGGGGGTGGGCGGCAGAGAAGAAGCTAGGGAAGGGGGAGGGGCTGGGCAGGTACCCAGACCAAGAACAGCCATTGGATGTGCTGAAGGTGGACAGGGCCCAGTTCTCAGGAAAATGGCCAGTGTGGCTTGAGCCCTTGAGGAGGTCTGGAGTTCATTCCTGTCTCCCAAAGGACAGGCTTCTAAGGGACAGAGTGGGCATATCCAGTTTCGGGGGGAGGTCATGGCCTGTCATGGCAGGAGACTTCCGTAAAGGTGGGGTGGGACTGGGGAGCCAAGTTCACTACAGGAGCCCTGTGTCATAGTGGGAACACAGACATCTGGGCTCATCTGGGGCACAGGCCTGATCTCATTAACAAAGGAGACCCAGAGAGCCGTAAGAACCTCCACCGAGTCACTATCCCAGAACAGAATCCCCCTAGGCGAGCCAGGGACCTTATTCTGTGCATATTTCACAGTTTATACCAAATCCCCTTCATCAACCCCTGCTGTGGGATGAACTGAGATCAGAGGTATACAGTGCCTGGCTGGGAGCTGGGGACAATAAGGGCTCCATAAAGCAGCCTCACCACTCAGCAGCAGGGTATGACTTCATTTCTTCATTTGTACACTACAGATAATAACCAAATGTGCCTCACAGAACTGTTGGGGAGGGCCAGAGATACAGCCCGGTTGGTAGAGCACTTGTCTAACTTAGGATAGCCGGGCTCCATGCTTAGCACCATATGCACCGTGGGTGTGCTGGCCCACGAGTGTAAAACTAGCACTAGAGAGATGGAGGCGAGAGTTAAAGGTCATCCTCTGCCACACAGTTCAAGGCCAGCTTGGCCTACATGAGATCCTATCTCAAAAAAGAAAATAAGAACTGTAGTGATTAAATGAGCATAAAACCATCCAAATGGTGCCTGTGCGGAATAACCACTGCTGTTTTGCCACATTAAATATTATACTCACCCACATCGTCAGGTTTTCCTTTATTTCCTCATTTAGTGTGTTGTTCTGGAGAGTCTGCAGTACATCGAGTACTGGAAGTGCCCCAGGGAGCTAGAAGAGTCCAGCAGCAGGTAGTGTGGCAGTTCAACCAGTGAATCCCCTGACAGGAGCAACCTCAGCTCACGGTTTCAAGAGAGTGCAGTCCATCATGGTAGAGAAGGCAGGGAGGAACAGGGTGGCTCCCTCTGTATCTGCAGAGACATGGGGCAGTTGTTTCCCATGTGGAGGTTAGATCAGGAAGCCACGGACGGGATCTGAAGCAGGGCCAGGCCCTGTAGCACACAAAGCCTGCCCCCCAACTGTGCTTCACCTCTGCCAGCCATGCTTCTGGTCCCAAAGGTTCCACAACTTCCTAAAACAGTGCCGGCACCTGGGGGAAAGTGTTCAAACACCTGAGCCTGCACTCAAACCATAATAGTCCTCAGACCACCCATGCCTGGGTCCCGATCCCTGGATGTGGTGAACAGACTGGGTCAGGTGGCTGAGGAACTAAGGTTGCAGGGGAAAGGGAGGCTAGCCTGGGGTTACCAGGGTGTGTCCACCTCATCACGAAGCCCTGAGAAGGAGGATAGGATTGCAGGCCAACCAGAGCGCAGGTGGAAAACCTGATCGCAGAGGAGGCAAAGATCTGAGTGAGCCGACTGTGGCTTTGGGGATAAATGGGGGCCTGAGCCTAGGCATGTGGAAGCCATGGGACCAAGAAAGGGAGGGAGATGCAAAGGGACAGGCCTGCCCTTCATGTTAGCTTGATGAGACTGGACCTTCCAGAACTAAATAAATTCACATGGCTTTAAGCCACTCACTTTGGGGAGTTATAGCAACCAAGGGAAACGAACACAAACCCTCTGCACGGAGCTTGCATCCTTTTAAGGAGAGACACTAAGGAAACAGAAGGCGGGGTATACTGAGCACCAGGGTTGAAGCTGGGAGCAAGGGTCAGACCGTCTGACAGGCCATCCCTCTGTCCCTCCGGCTCAGCCACCCCGGCCTCACACCCCTGCTGTGTTCAGAGCTGCCCGGCTCTGGCCGGATGTGGAAGCACACAGAGGAGGAGGCTGTCAGGTTCCTGGGCTAGACAGCGGCAGGTGTGGCGTTTCCGGACCTGGAGTGGGTGGGGCCTGTGACCAAGGTCTAGGGTAATTAGCCTGTCCCCAGGTCCCTGGGTGGGGAGATGAGGAACTGTGATTTGTCAAAGCCTGCGAGCAGAGAAGGGCAAAGCTGGCAGGCAGCCCCAGTGTCTCCCAGGTCTCTGTGATTACAAGCTCTCATCGCTGTAATAAAGAGCACCTAGATTCCTCCCATTTGGAGGCCGTCAAACAGTGCTTGGGCTTGGCTTTCATCTTGCCTGACTGCGGGCTGCTTACCTAAGAAGCCTTCCTCTTTCATCTCTCTGGCCTTTAATTGGCAGGTCTGAGCCCAGGGAGACACTTCAGGAGCCCGCCAAGGCCTGACTCCAGTCAACCTCCCTGGCCTCTCCCTGATCACGTCACCACACAGGTCCCTGCTCCACCCTGGAGCAGACAGCTGAGCAAGGCCTGAGCTGGACAGAGAGGTACCGGAGAGCTTAACCCACCAGAGGGCCTGTGAGTAGGTGGGGCTTGTGGCTTGGCTGGGGTAATTAGCCTGTTTCCTGGTCCCTCGGGTGTTACCCATCAGGTCCCAAAGGATGATGCTTGTGGTCCATGTTCAGGAACTCAGGTGGGACACTGTAATTGGGAAGAACTATTTACACACGGTGGACGTTTTCATCTATAGGAACATGTTTAGTGTAGCTCCCCTTGACCTAACTTCACAGAGATATTCAGGAACGTGTGCAAACTGAGGCACATATGTGTCCCCTGTTCTACATGTATTAGAAGGGTCAGAGATTGGGTGGAGGCCAACACCAGGAGCAGAGCTTTTGCTCTGGCAGAAGGGAGACTTTACCTATTAGATTAAGGGGGCCAATACCATCGATCCTTGAGCGTCTGAGATTGTGATCCTGTTCGTTTGCCTCATTCTGGGGACTACTGGGGTGAGGAGGGTGGCACTCAGATGGAACGCTCATGCTGTTGGCCATAGCATGCCTCACGGCCAGGACCATCTAGGTCCACCTTCTTCAGGAGTGACAGCATGCTTCCAGGGTCAGCCAGCACTTGACCCCTCCCATCTCATTCTCCCACCCCTGAAGCTGGACCTAGCCCTGACCCACAATGGCTGTTCACTGTGAACAAGCTGACTGTCTCATGCCCTCAGAGTACCCTATCAGGGAAGCAGGGTGTAGGGGAGGGATGGAGGGAAGGAAGTTCTCTCTGAGAGCAGGCCTAGGCAGCTGGCTTGGCCAGCCCATAGCCTCAGTCTCCCATAGTTACTTCTCAGCCTAGGCTGCAAAGTGAACTGTAGGCCAGTCTGGGCTACAGAATGAGATCTGTGTCAAAAAACAAACACACACCCAGACTTGGAGTTTTTAGGGGGGTGGGTGTTTGCTGTGGGTTTGTGCTTGACAACAGCTGGAAGTCACCCAATGTCACTTAGGTGACACAGTGGCTGAATCCTGGCCTGTCCTCTGCTCTCATGCACATATTCCTAGAAACCAGTCTAAACTTTCATGTCTGAAAGTTAGATGCAGTTTATTTTTAAAACTTGACCATATCTTTTGTCATCACAAGTGATGTTTATATTTCAGAAATAAAATACGCTTAAAAAATAAAAGTAGCCGGGCGGTGGTGGCGCACGCCTTTAATCCCAGCACTCGGGAGGCAGAGCCAGGCGGATCTCTGTGAGTTCGAGGCCAGCCTGGACTACCAAGTGAGTTCCAGGAAAGGCGCAAAGCTACACAGAGAAACACTGTCTCGAAAAACCAAAAAAAAAAAACCAAATAAATAAATAAATAAATAAAAGTAGCCTCAAATCACTGGTTGGGTCTTTCCAGCTTTATTGAGGTATAATCAACAAATGAAAATAATATATGCAAATATATTGGTGCAGGCCTATAATCCCAGCACTGGGGAGGTAGAGGCAGGAGGAATGGAAAATTCTGAGCCACCCTGGGTGTGGAGAGAATTCTTTCCCCAGGGAGATGTAAACCACATCTTTCCCTTTCCTCCAAAGCAACAATGAACCAAGACCAGACCACCACAGCTCACCCTGAAGAACCAGGGAGTTCCCTGGGCAGGGGTGAAGTGTTACTTACAGGAGTGTGAGTGGCCCCAGAGCACTCCCCAAAAGAAATTCTCCCCCTGCTTGGGTGACAGCTTCCCCATAGCCACATAGATGGAGTGCCCCTGTTAATCTTTATTAACTATGTACCTTATACTTTATATACTTCATACAGCCTATACACTTTAGCATTTCCCTAAACTCCTAGGTCACGAACAGTTAGGGCAGGATTGCACATAAATGTGGGAGGGAACAGTGAAAATCTCAGGCGAGGGTCTACCGACTCTCCCCACTTGCTTCTATGAGGGAAAGCTCACGGCAGAAGATGTCCATATGGAAATAGCAGTATGCATACATGCATCTGGTCATACCGTGTATAGACTCATGCATTCACAGTGAGGACTCAACTGTCACAAGACAGAGGCTGCAGAGGTGGCTTAGTTGGCAGAGTGCTTGCTGAGGAAGCGGAGGACTTTAGACGTGGTGGTGAGTGCCCGTGACCCCAGTGCTGGGGAGGCAGACAGGAGGAACCCTGGGGTTTCCTGGACAGACCGTCTAGCCAACTCTGTGGGCTCCAGGCTCAATGAGAGACCCTGTCTTAAAAGATAATGTAGAGGGAAACTAAAGAAGGAACTCAATGCTGACCTCTGGCTCCCATACACATGCACACACATGTATATATGCACACACATGAACACATGCACACACACACATATGTGTACATACACAAATATTTGTATATAAATTCATTTTACTCTTGGTGAAATTTGGCCATAAGAACAACTTGGTATTCTATCCTAAGCTGTGACCCTGGTCCTTAGAAATTCCTTGCAAATACTGATTTTAATGTTCACTGTTCTTTCAGAAGGCTTACCTATTCTTTTTTTTTTTTTTTTTTTTTTTTTTGAAAGGGTTTGTCTATGTAACAGCCCTGGCTGTCCTGAAAACTCATTCTGTAGACCAGGCTGGCCTGGCCTCACAGAAATCCACCTGCCTCTGTGCACCTTCCCCCCACACACACACACACACCCCCGCCACTCCGCCAAGTGTTGGGATTAAAGGCATGTACCACCACCACCACCCGGCTCATCTATTTTAAATAAATGCATTGTTTCTAAGCATTTAGAGTGCTTCCAGTTTTTCATTAACTTTTAAAAAAGCATTGTTATGAATTTAAGATATAAGTTTTTGTGTACATGTTTGCTGATGTCCTTAACATGAATTACTTGGTTCAAGGTAAGAAATATAACTTCTTTATAGCTAATTGAAGTATAACTTACATGATGTAAAATCCATCCTTTGTAAGTACAGAATTCAGTGACTGTTAAACTAAGTCCATGGGCTGGCGAGATGGCCCAGTGGGTAAGAGCAAGCGCTGCTCTCGCAGAGGACTGGAATTTGGGTCCCAGCACCCATATCAGGGTCTCCCAACTGCCTGAAACTCTAGCTCTGGGGGATCTACTGCCCTCTTCTGGTCTTCTTCAGCACTGCATGCACATGCACCCCTCCCCCCCACACAACACAATTTAAAATAATAATAATAATAATAATAATAATAATAATAATAATAAAAGGGCAATGCAGCCATCTAGTTTTAGAATATTTTTATAGCTTTAGAATATTTTTATCAACTAAAAATGTTTCCTTATGATCATTCATAGCCAAATTCACCTCTTCCTTAACCCCAGGTAACTATAAATCTACTTTCTTTCACTAGAAGTTTGTTTTTTTCCATATGAACAAATTATCTGTCTGTCTTCCTTCCTTCTTTCCTTATTTCCTTCCTTTCTTTCTACCTATCATCTATCTATCTATCTATCTATCTATCTATCTATCTATCTATCTGTCTGTCTATTATCTATCTATCAATCTACAGGGTCTCACTGTATAGCTCAGGCTGGCCTTGAACTTGTGATTGTCCCACCTCAGCCCCCTGAGTGCTGGGGTTATGGACATGTGCCACCAAGCCTGTCATTGACTACTTGGCTGATTGTGGCATGGGTGTGTGTGTGTGAATCTCGGGCCTCACACATGTCAGACAAGTGCTTATCACTAATCTATATTCCAGCCCCCCCCTTTTTTTTTTGGTTTTTGTTTTTTGAGACAGGGTTTCTCTGTGTAGCTTTACGCCTTTCCTGGATCTTACTCTGTAGACCAGGCTGGCCTCGAACTCACAAAGATCCGTCTGCCTCTGCCTCCCAAGTGTTGGGATTAAAGGCATGCGCCACCACCACCCGGCCTTTTTTATTTTGAACAGAATCTCCCTGAGCTGCCTAGGTTGGCTTTGAACTTACTCTGTAGCTAGGGCAGGTCTTGAATATTCGATCTTCTTGTCTCAGCCTCCCTAGTAGCTGGGATCCCAGGCCTGCAGCACCAGGCCCAGCTTTGATAGTAGACATCCTGGTAAAGATGCTGTCAACATCTCTGTGTGATTTGGATTGACAGTTTTCCAGGGACTAGTCATGCTGAACGTCATTTGCATTTCTCCTTTGGAAGAATATCTGTCTAGATCTTTTACTCGGTTTAAAAACCAGTTGTTTGTTTCACTGGTGTCAGAGTCCTTCCTTCTAGAAACAAATTGCTTAGCAGTTCTATGATTTGCAGGGTTCTCCCACTCTACACCTCCCCACCTTCCCCGGCCTCTCCCCCTCCTCTCTGTGAGTGTGTGTTTGAGATGAGCTCTCACTGTGTTGTCCAAGCTGGGCTTAAACCCACGGGAGTCTCCAGAGTAGCTCTGTCCATCCTTTGGAGTTCTTCTCAGGGAGTGAGTGGTACATCTTTGGCTGCAGCATCTCTGCAGGACGCCAGGTTTCCTTTTAGATTCTAGAGTCTACTGCAGGCTGTCTCTTCCACCTCCAAGAACCTCTGTGGTCATTCTAGTGGGAGCCAGGCTAAGAGTCACTGAAAGTGGAAATTTTCCCAAATGAATTGCCGATTGCTTACAGCTTTGTCTCTCCCACCCCAAACAGTGTTAGTGTTGAACACAAATGTGGTCCAGGGACTGGGGAGAGGGCCCAGTGATTAAAATGCAAATGCAAGCTTGAGATCTAGGGTTCAAATCCCAAGAGCTCACATAAATGCCAAGTAGGTGTGGCAGCCTTGGATGTAAGATGAGGGAATCTCCAGAGCTGGCTGGTCAGCTGGACCAGCCATAGTGGGTGACTGTGGGTCAACTGAGAGGTTTTACCTCACTGGATGAAGTGGAAGAGTCATCGAAGATGATTTCTAACATCAATCTCAGGTCTTCATGTGCATGAGCACACACGCACACTCACCTCCCACCCCCACACACATGTGCCTACATACATGCAAACATGTATACCCAATACATAAGCAAGCACACATCAGACCTCATATTAAAATGGAAAAAGAAAGGAAAAACAAATGTGGTCCAGTTCCTTGGCTCCCGGAATGGGGTTATCAACCTGGCCCCCTGTTCAGAGAG